AATTGTAATAGCGGTAAGTCGAATCAAATCCACAAGGGTTTGGTTTTAACTTATTATTGCCAAATAGTTCAAGTACAAGAACAAATTATTAAAAGGGGGGGGGGGGGGTTAGGTTTGATTAGTTAGACTAAACATACGATTAAAACTAATTATAAACAATGAAAACGAAACCCAACATTAGTTCACTCTCGATGATGTAAATACTTATCAGCGATCTTGCAAATGTAAAAAGATAGGACAAGCTCAAGCCGAGTATGGTTATCAACAAGCTCTGACAACCTTTGTTTTCACCTATTTAGACATTAGCTAAAATCAGTTCTTTATCTAAATCTTAACTACAATGGAACAATGAACAAGCTCTCAACATCCCAAACGTAATTAGCTTTAACGAATTAGAAAATGCAGACTCAAAGAATTAAGCTCATATGATCGGCTTAATACCACTTTGATTATGAGATTTCAAGAACTCAATTGAAAACTTTCTTGAATTCAAAGAGTTCCATTGTTACTCTATCAAAGCCACAAGACAATTACGTATCTAATATTTTGAATAACAAGCATTCATAGGACTGTTAACTAATCAGCCAATTTAATTTACATTCAAATGAAATTGAACGATTAGCCTAGAAATCAAACAAATAAACTTGTCCCAAACCATTACAACGACATCTCAACGTGAGAAAACATCAATTACAAACTCCCGGATAGAGGGTTTCAGACCCCAAATATACCTCTCCACCTTTCGGGATTCTAAAGATACGTAATGTTCCTCAAAACGGGAATACTCAATAAATTTCTCGGTATAATCCCGTACAAATCTACTCCCTTGTTCCAGTTTCAGAACATCTTCTTCCATCTGTCTTACTGCCGTCGTAGGACAGAATTGTGTTTTGAATTTATTCACAAATTCTTCCCAAGACATTGTTTGCAGTATATTCGGTTGTGATGAGGACTCTACATCCCACCAATATAAGGCATTAGATTTGAGCATAGATACCGCAAATCTAACCTTATCATCTTCAGAACATCTGCTAGTATTGAATACTGATTCAATTTCTTTTATCCAGCACATTGCCTTTACTGGATCTCTTTCTCCTGAAAAAATTGGAGGTTTACATGTCAAAAACATCTTTGTCTCCTCCCCGATTGTTGTTGCCTGCTGAGGGAGCTGGGGGATTAATTCCAACTCGCTCAGTTTCTATTTTGGCTGGCAGTCCCATAATGGATATCAAAGTTTCCCTTAATTTTCCCATTTCTTCTACCAAAACGTCTCTGGTTATATACTCAGGTTGTTGCCTCTGTTCCAGAAATAGATTCCCCTTGGTCAGGGCGAATCCCAACCTGACTTCTTCCTCGACCTCTACCTCTACTCCTTCCCCGACCTCTACTTCCTGAAGCATAGGTTGGCGGATTAACAGGAGATTCTTCCCTTTCTTCAAATGCAGAGTGGGCAATTTTTTCTGATCTTCGTGATCGATTAGACATCTGCAGATATTTTAGTATTAAATATCACGTATTCACATTCCCAAATATAATATGGTATCCGAGTATAGGTATGTACCTGTAAATTCACAATTACATTGGTCATTTGTAATTCGAATTCACCTTACATACTGCCCTCTTTAACCCATTATATTTTATTCCCAGGGATACTAATTATGTCTGGGACTCTTAGTATGCAAATTGTCACGCCCCGATTTTTTTTCTTCTTTCATTCGAGTGCCGTGACGTCATTCTTAATAACTTATGTCATGAACAAAAATACGAACTTAAAATTTCAAACACACATAATGTGTTTAACATAATTCATTACATAATTACGGAAGCGTAAAATACTTTAATGTAATCAATGCTAATTAAAATATCTAATCAAGCATGATTTAAAACATAGTCCCATCTTTCTTCATTCAACTCGTCTACTGATAAATGACAACTGAGATATATACATGTATAGTATAAGCTAAAAACTTAGTGAATACAATATGGTTTCATGATCACATGCACATATAAACAATGTTTTAGTGTATTTTAATTATTATCTTGCAAGTGAGGCCTCGGCTCGTCACTTTTCTTTGCATATGTGGCGTATTCTATGGATGAGAACTCCAAGACCTCGGAATTGCAAGCCTTCCTTTCATGTCCAACCCACCCCGTACGGTGGACGAATCTTGCTGAACTATAATAGTTGCATATCATTTATTTGCAATACTATCTCATCATGACATGCACATATAAACAATGTTTTAGTGTATTTTAGTTATTATCTTGCAAGTGAGGCCTCGGCTCGTCATTTTTCTTTGCGTATGTGGCGTATTCTATGGACGAGGATTCCAAGACCTCGGAATTGCAAGCCCTCCTTTCATGTCCAACTCACCCCATACGATGGACGAATCTTGCCGAATCATACTAGTTGCATATCATTTATTTGCAATACTCACTCATTAATGGAAATCTCATCGTGACATGTAACATACATCTCATGCAAGTGACAACATAAATCACATATGCATCATCGTCATTTTCCACATTATACACATRCTTGAATATCATATTGATAATATCAAGTCATCATAATCAACATCACCTTTCATATCATGCATATACTTATATATCATGTACATCAATACAATCAAGTTATCATCATATGCGTATAAACACATCATGCAAATATGATGGATAAAATACTTTGTAATAATCATGTATATATCCCATAAAAATCGCATAATGTACTCACCTTGAATCGTTAACGTTCGATAGGTCGTTCTCTCAAAAACGACAACCTACATGATAATTTATACCATTCCTAAGCATCTTAAATAATCGTAATTAATTTGATTAATATTCCTTAACAATCTTAACACGACTTTTCCTTTTATTGATCAACCCCCCGATAACATCATATCTTATGTTTCACTTCAATATTTTCTTGAAATATTATTAATAATGTGACGTCATTATAATATTTAAAAAAAAAAGCAATACACTTCACATTTTCTTAAACAATAAGTATTTTACCAAAATAACTAAACTAAATAGTTCACAACGTAAATAATGTTTTGTGGTCAAAACGTCTCTTTTAAAATTTGTAAGTGAATAACGGTGAGAACATGTCACACTCATATAAATAACGGTCATTCCATAACTTTAAAGTTCAACATAATTAATATTCGAAATAATATTTAGAATACAAATTTTCCAAGTCTAGGGGCATTTCGGTAAATCTTAAGAAGCCGAACACCAAAGGTATAGCTTTAACCAATTCCCTAATTTAGAACATTCTTGGTATATTTCATAAGTCGAATATTAAAATTGTGCTTAAAAGTCCAATCCCAATCTTAGGGGCATTTTGGTAATTTTATTAAGCGATACTCAAAGTATTGTTAAAATACCGATTCCCTAACTGTGAGGTCATTTTGGTAATTTTATAAGGATGATAATCAAAATAAAGCATAGATACCAATTTCCAAGATATAGGGTCATTTCGGTAATTTATAGGCAAATACGTAAAGTATCGCTAAAATACCGATTCCACATTTTATTCAAAATAGAACTTAAATACCAATCCCATGACATAGGGTCATTTCGGTAATTTTATAGAGCAAATACGTGAAGTATCGCTAAAATACCGATTTTCACATTGTATGGTCATTTTGGTAATTTTATATAAGTAATAATATAAAAATGAAGCTCATAGACCAATCCCTAAGATATATGGTTATTTCGGTAAATTTTGGAAGCAAATACGCAAAGTATTGCTAAAATATCGATTTCTCATTTATATGGTCATTTTGGTAACTAAACGAGATAAATAATCGAAACTGGGTCAAAGTTTACGTTTTTAGAAAATACAAACAAACTTAATAAAAGTTTCATAAAATTTATATAGAGAAAATTATATTTCAGAAACTCAAATGTATACTGCATATTAAAAATATAGGCGCGTACAAAGTAATGAATTACGTACGTAGCTTACTGGTTAACGCTCGAAGTATCAAGGCCGAGGTTGCGGGTTTGAATCCCGCCCTCAACGGCTTTAATCCTATATTTTTAAAAGGGTAAACGGACGCGGATCTTGGGTCGGGACGACCCGGTCCATGACCCAGCTGGAAAACAGCAAGGAAGCAGCTGCCATGGCTGCACCATTTTTACCTTTTCGAGGTTTGAAATGGCTCGTTTCTTGATATTTTTTCTTCATTCTTTTTGCATCAAACTCTTGATAATATTTTTACCAACACTTTGAYATAAAGAACACGAATTTTCATCAAAAAATGAGTTTCATTTACTCATTTAAAGTTTGTTTTTAAAACTAAAACTTAACAATTTAAAAACATAAAAATCGAACAACATAAACACAAATATGAGAAATGAGGCTACTGGGGTTTGATATAGTACTTAAAAACGAAGATATAGACAAAAAAATCAAGAGATTTGGTTAAGAATCTCACCCAAAATCGGTGGAAAACCTAGATTTTTTGATTCCGAACTTCAAACTCGGATTTCTCTCTCAAAACTCAACGATTTTTCTATCTATTTGAACCAAAATGATCCAAAGCCAGTGCTCTATATTTATATACAAAAGTTTTGGCTTATTATTTGACGAAATTGGAAGAAATCGCGAGGTTTTGACTGAGGGGTCGTTTTCTCTAAACACTTATGTACTTTTGGCAAAACAGGTCCCTCATCTTTGAAAAAGATGACATTCGACCCCCTCAAGTTTCTGACATTTACCATCAAACCCCTCCTGACGTAATATCTTACATTTTTGGTCCAATAATTAAAAGAAAACAATTTTATTTTATTTTTCTTTTTATCTTTCTTTTCATTATTTATTTATTTAAGATTTCTACAATTATTTTCTTTAGTTTAGCACGTAAATAATTTAACACTTCAAATAAATTTAAAAAAATATTTAAAAGCTCATATAATATAATATTATATATATATATATATATATATAATTGGGTTTTACACAAATGACAGTTTAAGTCTAGGCATCATGCTTTGAATACCTAAATCTCTTAAACTAAGGCTCTGATACCACTTCTGTAACACCCCCAAACACCACATTTGCATATAACACATATTTTATTACATGAAAATATAGTTTACATCACAAGGTCCCACTAGTACAAGGATTCTTATATGTATAAAATCTATATATGAAAAATTCCAAAACAAAATCATGTACTATCATATGTAATACAACATGTATCTTCAAAAAATAAGCAATCTCATGCGGATCTCCAAAAGCAGATATCAGATTAGGAAAATAATCATATTTTCCCTTTCCCCTTATTATCCCTGGACCTCGTTGTTCCTGCATTGCATATTTTAAAGACAGAAAATGAGGGTTAGACCAGAAGGGTCTAGTGAGTGAATCCCTTCTTTGCAAATACAGGATGATAAACACCAAATTATAATAAAATATCTTTGCTCAGGAATATTTGCAATACAATCAAATAATGCAGTCCTCAATGACATGTATAATATGATAAACTCAAGAATCTCAGTTCTATTAATAAAATACATCTGCTTAAAAGATCCAACGTTCTCAATATGAAACAAATATTGTAAACAAAGCTTCTTTGAATTATCAGACCATTCCTTTGTAAATTTTAACGGAAAGATTTAAGGCAATACTTGCCCTTTATGACAAACCATTTTTCCCTTCTCAATAACATCTAAATTATTATTTCTAATAGGAATAATATCTCTAATTCATCAGGTCACAAAGAAATGATGACTCAAAGTTATTAAATTCAATTAGTAACAGTAATAAGAGTTATAACACTATCCACATATGACAATGCATCCCTTATTCCAAGTACACCTCTCCTTGATATGTCACCCTTATTCCTCCATCAAAACAAGGCTACTTATCAGAACAGACAAAAGTCACCACGTCTAAAAGTACCCATTCCCAGTTCCAAGCCAGAACAGACAAAAGTCACCATGTCTGGGGGAACAACCTCTTAAAACAAGTTTCATACCAAAACAGACTTACGTCACCATGCTTGGTAGAAACAGTTTACAAAATCCAATTTCATACCAAAACAGACTTACGTCACCACGCTTGGTAGGAAGGTTTCCCAAAATATAGTTTCATACCAAAACAGACTTACGTCACCTCGCTTGGTAGAAACATACCTTCTATTTATTTTAAAAGATATAAAATACCTCTTTTTGATAATAACATAATTTAAACCCAATAATAGCTTACCAAATTATAAAAATTCCAAGAAAACCCAACACTTGAAATTTTCAACAAATGAACGTCCGGATAAGTTATCCGGACAAGTTATCCGGTCAAATATCCCTTGTCCGATTTATCAAATCCGGACAACCCTTAGCCCTTTTGTCCGATGTACATATCTGGACAACACATATTTGTCTGATTTATCAAATTCGGACAATCCTTGATTGATTAATAAATAATCTACACAATCTTTGGTCGATTTAAGACTAAACCGCTTAGCACGTGTTCG